CGAACATGTTTTAATGAATAAAATAAATATTAATCTTAGATATTTAGATATTTACTATTTATATTTATTAAGAAAAACTAAGTTTGAGTATATAAACATTATCTATTTATACATATATAATCTTTATTATCGGCCTAAAAAAATCATTATTATAATATTAAAATGTTCAAAATATCAAAATCGATTGCAATACACAATCGATCTTTTTATATTGATTACGAATTATTTATTACAAATCAACAATATGTCAATTTTTTGTTTTTGTATTTATTTTTATGTTTTATTTAATTCCGCATAAAAAATACACCTTTCAATTTTATATTGTCATTATTAATAAAAACTATAATTTATTTTAAATTTTATTACATTTTCATATACTATATATAAATATTATGGTATACTTATACAGAAATATGCCAAAACTGATTTTAAAATCGATTCCTTTTAAAATATATTTTATTTTAATATCAGATTTTAACAGAATCTCAATTTTGAATAATTTTTATATTTATTTAAGGTATTTTTTTTGTAATTTAATAGCTTTAAAAGAAGAAAATTCATAAGAAGATTAAATAGTTGGTAAACATAAAGATTAATTTATTAAAAAAAAACAAATTATGACGTTACATAACAGAAATAGCCATAAAAATACTCATAGTTTAAATAGCACATTTATAAGTTTATACATAGTAGTAGCAAAAGACATAGTAGTTATACATAGTAGTGCATTTTTTTAAATTTTATGAGAAAACACACTGTCAACATATAATATTACTTTCTTGGCTTAATACTATATAAATAGGTACACAATTCAGCTTATAAATTGTAATGGCTAAATTATATAGCAAAAATACAATCAAAATGTTCCAGAATTCATTAATATACTAATAATATCGTACAATATATGCCGAAACAATTGCGAAGGTACCCTTAATTAGAAAATTGAATAATAAAAACAATGTGCATATTTTATTCTTTGGTAACTTTCGAAAGTCCAACTAAATTATTATAAGCAATGTACAAACGGTAGTCGAAAAATATATTAAGAGAAATGACATTTTAAAGTGGTGAATAAAGTGGTGTTGTATTGTCCGGAAAAAAAAGAATTCTCAAATTTTTTTCCCCTTCTTTACATTGAATATAAAAGTGATATTGTGAAAGCAATAAAATGTGAACACGAAGCTTCACCACACAATGAATTTCAAAAATTTAGCTCAGAAACAGTTCTAAAAAATTAAATGGGCTAATAATATTAATGAAAAGGTTAAATATTTATAAGCAAATGATTTAAATATGTATAAATTAAAATTCTCTTCAAAGCATTCAAATGTACAAAAAAAAAAAGCCGCAAAAAGCTTTAAGAGAAAATACTTCCACAAAGTATTTTCTCTTAAAGCTTAATTGAAATTTTAAGTAAACACATTCAAATCTATAATATCAACTTTTAGAGAATTCGGACAGTGAAAGTTAACAAAAACATATTTATTATTTAGAATATTAAAGAAGATGAAATTGAAAGTAATTATTATAATGTAATCAATTTGATTCGATATTATTAAAAATCGATTTTATCGATATCTGATAATATAAAGGCATATTATCATAAGCATAATTAAACATAACATCAATTTTCTCTAATATAGGGAAAAAAAAATATTCAAAATTATTTCTAGTATTTTTTTATATCTTTTTTTCTCTTTTCTTCAAGAATACACGCAAATTATAGTGTTATTATTAAAAGGATACTCATATATAATGCATTAACTTAAATTTATATGTTTATATGTTATACTTATTGGTATATTAATCAAATTTACCATCTGGAAATCATTTGTTTTAGTCAAATCTTATAAGTCGTAAATATAAATCACATTATTTATAAAAATATTTTTATGTTTATTACTATTATAATTACTATCATTGATGGTCTCGTTACAAAAGTTCAAAAGTATAAAACCGCTAAAAGATAAAAAGAAGTATAATCTATAACCTTTACAAGTTTTAATATTTTTCTTTTGTGTTATCACATTAAACACAATGATTAATTTTCATTTTTTATAAATTTTTTTATAGATTTTTTGATACTGTTACACTTTTCTTTTTCATACTTATTTTTACCAATTTACGGAAAAATTTTTTCTCACTTTCGAATTTAAAAATAAAAAAAAAAAACTTATATAATATACAAACAAAATATAGGAACCTTATATTTCATATACTCGTATGTTAGCAAAATGTATATAAAACCAATATTATGTAAATAAAACATAATATTTTGTTGGGGGAGTGCGGCATAAGGAAAGGAATTATCTAATATTATAATATTTTCATAATATATAGAATTACATAATAATGGTACTAGGCACATATGCAAAATATATACACATATATGTATAAAATAGATTATATTATCATGATAGCATTTTGATTTCCTTTAAATATTTTATACAAGTGTAAATAAATATTTCTATATTTATGTATTTATTTCCTTTAATATTATTATGTATAGGTAAATTTATTTATAATATGATCTATATATTTATTTTATTGATTTTTTTTTTCTTTTTATCAGATGTCGGTAAATGCCGGTCTTTATATAATATACATATATAAAGCTTTACAAGTTAGTTAAATCAACCTGCATACCTTCCTGTCTTCCTGCTTGCCAGCCCGCCTATATCTATATAACTTCTATATATGCTTTACCTGACCGTAAAATTTACACTTCTTTTCCGATTTATATTATTAATGATTTCATATATGATTATTGTTGTTGTGTTATTATTATTATTGCTATACTTTTTTGTACATACGTACATAAATAAGCATATATTTCCAATCTTATAAAAATATTAAAAATAACAAAAAAAAAAATTGTAATACACAAATTATGTGCATATTATTAAGGTTAACGATTTATATGTAAGATTTTATATACCTACATATTTACGTATATAAAAATATAACATAGAATATCATTTTCCTTACTAATGCAATAAAAGTTAATATAAAAAAAATAATAGTGCATATAATAAAAATAACAATAACAATAACAAAACATAATAATAAAATAAATATGCAAAAAATTTTACACAAGAAAAGAAAAACTTAAAATAAAAACAATCTGACAATGGATTGGTGCGCTTTTAAAAATATCCGCAGATCGACAAGATACAAGATACTTTTAGGAAAAATAAAATAAAAAATTAAAAATGTACTTTGTTGTTTCAATTTTTTTCCTCTTTCCTTTTTCTGTTGTTATTCAATTTTTTTTTTTTAATTTTATCTTCTTAAAATACGCGAAAATACCAAACGGAAGAATGATATTATAAGAAAAACAAAAAGAAATTAACAAAAATAAAAAAATGAAAATATATGAGAAAAACGCGAAAAAAAACCAAAAAAAAAAAAATACCATCAAATTTATCGCACAATTGCGATATTCTATTTCATAATTTTTATTTATTTTCTTTTCTTTTTCTTATTTCTTTTTTATTATCTTTATATTTTGAATATTTTCCTATTTACCTATATATAGAAAGTGAAAGCAATCAATACAATATTCAAAAAGGAATCAAAAAATACCCTATCGATACATACTTACATAGGTAATATAGGTACATATATAAAAAATAAAACTAAAAAAAACAAAATTAAAGATTCATTGAATTAACACGCTCGTTGAACGCTCAATAATATTGTTTATGGTTAGTACATTTGGTTAGTTATGGTTATGGTTTGCTTGATATTATTCTCTCTCTAGATATACACAACTTACATATAGGATATCTTATTGTATGCTATAAAGAGATTGATCTCATATACTATGAATATATATATTTATATATACATACATAATAAAGTATACATATATAAAATGCTTACATTACAGAAGAGTTTTAAATTTCAATTTTTATAACTTAAAGGCTTTTGAACCTTTCTATAAGAAAAAAAAAAACTTTATATGCAATGTTTAATTTCTTTTTAGTAGTTTTTTTTTTTCTTAATATGTTGTACATAAAAAATAGTCTTCTTTCTGATTTATTTTAACTATTTTTTTTGTTTCTGGGAAAAACACAAAGTATATAAAAATGAAAATAATGAAAATCGAGGAAATTTTAAGTTAACAAAAAAAAATGAAATTGTGGAAAAACCTACGTATTATGAATTACCTAAATTGGATTTTTAAATTCTAAAAGAACAATAATCCTCTAATATATAGGTCACATTTAAAATTAAACACTATACGTTAATAATACAAATTTTTATATATATATTATGTAGTTCTAATATCTAAATAGCCCCGAAATTATATTGTTGTATCTTACCAAATGATGGAAATAGAACTTAAAACCAAGTTCAAACCTAAAAATGCAATCAAATGTAAATAATTTGAAACAAAATATGCAAAAAACTGCGATTCAATTTAATTTTCAAGCTAGACAAATTATGTTTTTGTACAAAATTATTTTTGTATAAATAACTCAGAAATTATATTTTTTGAGATATGTCATTGTTGCTGCAAGTTTATGACATAGTTGTCATTTAAAATGACATGAGTTTTCACTACTTGAATCATGTCGATTAATTAATAAAAAAATAATTAATTTAGAAGCTTAGTTTACTCTAGAATCACATAAAAAATTTAAATTAAATATTTTCCATATCATTTCAAATCCAAAATCAACTTTGACTGACATAAGTCGAAAAAAATTGCTAAAATCTTTTGTAAGTTTCAACACTAAAACATCTTATCAAATTTTAAACTGTTTATATATACACCCATTTAAACTAAACGACCAGACTAATGGACAGTTAAAGCATTTTGTAATTATTTGAATAAAAAATTATTTTTAATAGGAAAATTGCGTTAAACTTAAAAAAAAATTGCGTGTTTTAAATTTATTTTCTTTTTTTAATTTTATTTTTCATTGATCATTTTTGAAGATTTTCTTCCCTATAATAATGTTTTATTTTTATTTTTTCATTGTTAATTCTAGGATTAAATCGTGGCGGAAGTTTAAAATCAAATAGCAGTTCCTGTAATAATGATTCACCAGCAACGATATTAACAAATGGTGCTGATAATTTATGCAATGAAATGTCAACATTAATGTACGATTATGAAGTGATCTCCAGAATAAATGATTTAGTGAGTACATTAAAGGGAAATTATAAGGAAATCAATACAAATATAACACGTAATTTAATGAATACAATACAAAGTTCAATACAGCGTAAAGATGAGGAAATGGCATGGGTTGATTCATGTTGTTTACAATTAATTGCACGTAATAAATCTGGCAAAGAAGAAACCTTTACATTCCAAACGGAGAATCCAATTGTTAAAAAAGAATGGATAACAGAATTACGTTTGGCACAATTAGCCTTAGATCCAAATAATTCACCAGCATGGGAAATGACAGAAAATGACCAAAGACCATCAACAAAAATGCCATTATTTGTTAAAGCACAACCTGTTTATAAATCACAGCATCAAAGCGAGGTACTTAATAATTTGTAATTTTTAAACAAATAATTTTTAAAACAAAAATTATAATAAAAAAAAATATATTTTGTACATAATTATTAATAAATCTAATTTTTTAGGTGCGCTGTGGCTGCTATTATAGTATAACAAATGATAATAAAATTGGTACGGCACGTCGTCGTTTTAAACGTCAAAATTATTTGTGGATATGTACAACAACTGGTCAAAGTAGTCATATTGCGGTATTATCACAACATCACCAGCAGGCTGGTAATTTCAAAGATGTTGGATCATTTGATTTAGTTGAAACACAAGTCACCAGTATGGAATTTATTAAAGGAATAGATAATAATGCAAATAATATAGTTAATATTAAAGATGAAAATTATAATGGAATTCTTGGCGATTTGATATGGATGGGTACAGATAGTCGTAAAATTTTAATTTACTCGGCAACAAATCCAGAACAAGAAGTACAAATTGCTGTTTGCTCTGTTACAGGAATAGTACAAAAAATCTTATATCATCTTGATTCAGTATTTGTTGCATTATCTAATTCAACCATATTAATATTTAGACGTTCAAGTGAAGGTGTATGGCAAATAAAGGAACCACAAACTATACAAATGGGCACTACTGGTTTAACAGTATCCAGTATATTACCAATAAACATGAGCATTTATGCAAGTTGTGGTAATAGAGTTGCTGTTTTAAATGCAATTACTGGTGATATACAAAAAAGTTTTGATGTTCAACGTGCTAATCAACAAGTTAATTTAATGGCCCATTCTGGTATTGGCTTATGGATTTCTTTAAAAAATTCTAGTATAATTTGTTTATATCATACGGAAACGTTTAAACATCTACAAGATATTAACGTGGCTGCGAATGTTTTACGTGTTAAGAATACTCAAAAAGAAAGTGTTAATAATAGCTCAATTCATGTGACATCGTTATTGGCTTGTAAGGGTTTACTGTGGGTGGGAACAAATGTTGGTATTGCATTAACAATACCTTTACCAAGATTGGAAGGTGTTCCAATAATAAGTGGTGGCGTTAACATATCATGTCATGCACATTTTGGACCAATTACATTTCTCTTACCATTAGTACCAAAATCATATCCATCTGGATATAAACAATCATCACAAAATATTATACAATCACCTGCCGTAACTATACCACCTGAACAAACAATACTGATCACTGAAAATGCAGATGAAGCATCAAGAAAAATAGAAAAAGAAACTACAAATGGAACCACAATACAAAGTAATAATGAGAAAAATATTAAAGATGATGAAGTAGTTTTGCGTAGAGATTTAAAAGAAGCACCAGAGGATTCATCAGCAATAAATACAAGTATAAGCAGTAATGAACAAGAATCGCCAGCAAGATCCAAATTAGATAAACAAAATTCACTAGATTCATTTTCAGCTAAAATTAAAGCACAATTAGCTAACAGTCCAGCTTTAAGACGTAAACGTTACCGAGACTCTTTAAATGATTCAACATCTACAAGAATGTCGAAAACTTTACCAAGAGGTATGGGTTCACCAAGTTTCTTTACAACAAATTCAATAACTTCGCAAGCATCTACAATGCAGCATTCCGATCATGGATATTGTGACGTATACGGTCTCTATGGTAAATTAATATTTGTAAAAGAAGATTACGATGCTGAAGAAGGTACCCAGGGTAATTTAATTGATATGATGTATGAAGGTATGAGACGTTCAGATCCAGAACTAGCAGCAATACCCGGCAAAGTAAGTACGTTAGATAGACGTTTACGTATGAAAGCGAGTAGACCACGTTCATTAGATTTATCAAATTGGTCAGTTGATTCAAAATCATCAAGTTTATATACATCATCGGGTAGTGAAGAAAGTATGGGTATTAGATTATTTGGTGGACGTTCTGTATCACGTAATAGTAGTAGTGCTAGTCATAAAACTTCTGGTAATGGCAGTGATTTAGGTAATATATCAGAGAATGGAACAATAACGACTGCTGATATACATCAAAATAATACATTAAATACAAATTCAAATCAACAACAAACATTACAACCAATTGCTCAAAATAATTGTAACAATACAGAAATAATTACAACAATAACAAAATCAGATGACGTTAAAACAATAACTATTATAAATGATGGTGAAAGTAAACAATCACAGCAACAACCGCATATAACTAATAATAAACAACAAAATCAAATAACAACAACTGTATCGATGACACCAGCGACAACACAATCATCATCACAAATACCTGCTGCTGCTGCTACATTAAAAAGAAAAAATAAAAATGCTGCTAATAAAAATGCATCACAAAATAATGATGGACCAACGACTTTATTAACTTTAATGGGAGGCCGTGGATATTGGAGGCATGTTTGGTATACAAATACATCTCCAGGAAATAAAAATAATACAATGAGTGGTGGAACAATGTCAAGAGTTGCTAATTCAAATGATGCGCATATCGTTATTTGGGAAAACAAATTATAAAACATATAAAAATAAAAAAAGGAAACCGGAATATTATATAATATACATTGTGTATATAGATATTATGTTCCATATTATATAATGTATGTATACGATATACATATTATATGTTTGGAGGATATCTTGACATACATACTATTATATATTATGTATATATATACATTTTTTTTTGTACTATTAATATTGAGAAATTCTAAAATATTTACATATGCATATTCTTTAGTTATTTTATTTTATAAGTTATTACTATTCTACATTTTATTTTGTTAATTTTATTTCAAAATTTTGTTTTTTTTTTAATATGAAATCCCAGTTGTCAGTGAAGATGAAGTGTCAGTGAGGTATAAAAATGATCATAAAAATTCTTTATTTTTAATATTAATTTCTCGTTTTTTGTTCTTCATAATAATAAATGTGTTTTTATAATAATCAATTAATTAATTTTTAATTATTTTAAATTTTATACATAATTATAAAAAATATATAAATTTTTATTTTAAAAATAATATTCTGTAAATACTAAACTTAACTTAACTTAAAATAAAAGAAAAAAACTAAGGTTTCGGTTCATTAAGACAAAAAAATCATTTTATTTTTTAATATTTTTTTTACATAAGAATTTTTATTTCATATAAGAAAAAGAAACAAAGAAAACAATCAAATAAATGTAGACATTCATATCTCACCGACGGTCCATAAATTAAAAAAAAAAAAATTTATAAACTTATTGAATAAATAATTTAAAACAAAACATAAAACATGATAAATATTATGTTTAATTGTAATATGTTTGAAATTTTCTAAATAAATTTTTAAATATGTATGATTATGTAAAAAAAACACAAAACTGAATAAATTTATGCAATTACAATTGCAGATGAAGAAAAAAAGAAAACAAACCAATTTTAAATGTTAAAAATGAGCAAAAATAAAATATTTATTTTCCTCATTGATTTCAATTTTCTTTAAAAAAAAATAAATTAATTTATAAAAATCTAAATTTATAAATATTTTAAATTACATTTGTAAAAATCTAAAAATCACAAAAAAAAAGAAAATTATGAAATTATGAATTATACAAGAGAAAAAAAGTTAAATAAAAATTTAAATTTATTATGAAAAAAATTTTATTAAAGGAATAAAATTTTTAATTTTTTCTTTAATGGTATAAAATATTAATTTTAGAGATATTCATTTCAAATTAATTAATTTGCAAAATTATTTAATATTATTGTAAATTCATAATCTTGTTAATTATATTATAAAATAGTATTTTACCTTAAAACAAACTTTAATATTAATTGTTAATTATTACATTTATGACATAGCACATATTATGTTTTTCATATAATTCTTCTAGTTGGATCTAGGTATTCTTTACTCAATAGTTTTTTTTATTATTTAAGAAATTTGATATTAAATTTTTTTTGAAAAATTGATAATTTGCGATCCGAAACAATTGATTTTATTGAAAAAATCAATTGTTTCGGTTTTTTTTATATTATCGTTCTTAATATTAACATTTAATTACTTTTCATTTTAAGTGATCCAATTTAATAAGGTTTACAAATAATTATTTTTGATTATTGGCTTTAACTTTTATATATATATATATGTACTTTCATTATTTATTTGTGTATATGGGGTAATCTTTCTTTTTAGTTTAATAACTTTTTGTTTTATCGCTTCTTTTATCTAATTTTTTATTGGACTAAATATTGAAGCACTTGTTTTTGTTTTAATAAAATTTTTAACATATTTTCAAAAAGTTTTTAGTAAGATAAAATTTGAAAAACTAAATTATCAAATCTATATATATACAAAAACAAATATATATATATATATATATATATATATATATATATAAATAACAATTTATTTTAAAAATTTCCATTTTGTTATTATGTAAATTCTTAAATTTTATATAAATTTATGTAATTAAAATGAATTTAAAACTTGTTTATTAATTTTTATTTATTTTTAATTGTTTTTTTAAGATATATAAAAGTTATATAATGCATTAATTTAATTAAATTTATTAAATTAATAAAATTATATAAAATGATAATGTATTTAACAAGATTAAATGAAATTATATATAATCATTAAGGTAATTATGAAATTATTATTTTTTTTTTTTGAAATGAATATTTCTATTATTATAACATTAATATTTAATTATTATAATTATTATTACTATTATCAACATTATTATAATATATATAAAATAAATTTGTATACAAATGTATGTGTATATATATATAAAAAAATATTATATAAAACTATACATATATTATATGCAAAATGAAATATTGTTGTTTATATAAGACTTATTTTTTAAAGTCTAAGAATTAACAAAAATAAAATACAAAAAACAAAAAAAAAATGAATATTAAAACTGAAAAAAAAATATAATTGTAATAATTTTAATTTTTTGTTTTAATTTTTCTCTTTTATTATTATTATTATTATTATTTGTAAATAATAAACATACATATAAATATATACATAAATTTAAATATTTTGTTTTAAAAATACTTTATATTAAAAATACAAAATTATTATTATTATTATACATATACAAAATAAAATAAAATGAAATATTAAAAAAAAGGTTACAAAAAAAAAAATATTAAAAATTGTATGTTTAAGACTTTTAAATAGTAAAAAAAAATTAAACTTAAATTTAAAAGTTTATCAATAGTAATTTTTTCTTCTCCAATATTTTATACCCTAAAAAAAAAATATTTTTTTAAATAATTATAATAATTTTTCTTTTTTTTTATTTTTGCCATTTTAAATGTTTTCTTTTTAATTTTAAGATTTTTCAAATTGTGAGCTTTTGAAAAAGATATTTTTTAATTTTGTTTTTATTTTGCGATAATATTTCTTTTACAATTGCAATATCAAAAAAAAAAATAGAACTAAAGAAAAGTCATTTGTACAATTTTAAAAAAATTACAAACAAGTATTTTTTAAATAATTGAATTTTGTTAGGTTTTTTTTTTTTATTTTCTTAATTTTAAATTGAGAATATCTACAATTTTATAACAAATAATGAGAATAAAATTATATACTAAATACAAAGGAAATGTACAGAAATTAATCAAATACAAAAATGATACTGCTGTCATTAAAAACCAATTTCATTTGAGAATAATTAGCCATCATAAAAATATACTAAATTTCATAAATAAAATATAAATCCTAATAATCAAAATTTTATTTTTTTTTTCATTTAATTTATTAATTTATGCAATATCAAATTCAATATACATAAATTAATTAATTACATTGGAGATCATGAAGCAACTTATATTTTGCAAAATATTCTCATTTTAAAAATAAGAAAATATATAAAATAGAAAATTATTAAATATTAATACAAAATTTATTATTCTGTTATGAAAATATTTATAAGTAATTTAATTTTTTTCTGTACTTTATTGTAACATGTTTTAACATATTTTTTCTTTAATATTCTTTTGTTTTTAAGCTTAATGAATAATTATTGCATTATTAACTTGTTTAAAATTAAAGTTAACTTCAAACATTAATTCTCTAATTTTTTTTTAAATAATTTTTTAAACTTATAATATAACACTTTCTTTCTTAAAAAATCTTTTATAGAATTATTTAAAATCCAGAAAATGTCGAGGATATTTTTAAAATAATCAATATATCATTATATTATATTATATATATTATATATATTATATATATTATATATATTATATATATTATATTATATATATTATTATATTATATTATATTAAAATAAATTAATCAATAACATTTTTAGATTTTTGACATTAATATTTAATAATTATTTTACTATAGCTTAATATTTCATAATTTATTCAAACAATTAATGACATTGTTGAATTGAATATAAATTTTAATTTAATATTTAGACATAAATATTATCATAATATATTACATATACAATAATATATATATGTATAATAATTATATTTACAATATTTAACTATCTTTATAATACAAAAATTAAAATATTAAAATATTTAATAACAATAATAAATAAGCGAAATTTTTTATTTAGCATAAACTCCATATAAATAAATCTATATTATAGAAGAATAAATTTGTTTTCAATAGAATAAAGTAATAAATTTACTGAAAAATTTTTGTATTGAGAAAACAATAATAAATAGTAGGAAAAATGAAACACTATTTATACATTTATTACATTTAAAATAATTTAATATCAAAATATTTAGCTAATTACTTCTTTTTTGTATAACATAATTTATAAAAAAAATATAAATTCTTATTCTAAATATTTTTATTTGGAGAATTAATAATTTCCCTATTAAATAAAAGATTAGGTTCGAAATATTTACCAAAAATTATAACAGAAATTCAATATTATTTTCAAAATTAGTTCATAAATATCAACAATATAAAAAATAATTACATTTTGTGTAATATTATTCAAATATAAAATAAATTATTATTGATTGTAATAAATTGATAATAATATATTAATAATAAATAAAATAAGTGAAATAACGTATGTAATTGAATAGCAATAAAAGTTAAATATTTTTTGAAATATATTTTAAGAATACAGGGGAGGAGGGGCTATAAGCATATTTATTGTACTCGAAAAAAAAGATGAAAGTTCTCTTGTTGATATTTAATAATTTTTATTCAATATTTGTTCTTTATATATCTTAATAACTATTAAAAATATTTTTTTCCAATAATTCAATAAAATAAGATATCATATAACATTATAATTGACTTATTAATGTTATATTTTTATTTTAGAAATTAAATAGTTTATCTAATATTCAATATAATTTTTAGATCGATTTTTAATGTAAAATACACCTGTAAAATGTATTTTATAGTTTTATATGTTCATGTATGATATAACATTACTTTAGAAAATTAATAAATTTAGTAATTATATTTTTTTAATAAAAATTCGTATTATAATCTATTTAATAAATCACACATTTTTCTGGATTCAAAAACAATTTTCTGCAAAGTTTAATTTTTTTTTTTTAATTATTTATCAATTGAAACAGCCAATAACAGAAATTCTTTAATACATTTTTCATCACCGTTCTAAGTTTGTTTTTTTTATAAATGATTA